TTGATTTATATCCCACAAGTTTGTATTTTTTTTTTGGTCACAAGTTTGTATTAATACCAAAAAAACGTTGCAAATAAAAGGAATTGTCTTGAAAAAAAAAAGAGTCACATTGCCTTGTTGCCATATTGATATAATCCAATTTGTACAGCATGGTCCGGTTTCCTTTAATCTGATTCGGATAATTGTCTAATGCTAATAAATCTAGGTCATCATTCTGATTCGGATGATGGATGTTTTCGTATCGGGTACGTGGATTTCAGAAAAGTTCTTTTCTTTTTTTTTTGATAATTTATTAAAATACCTTCTATAATTTCATGTTTTTATGAAAGCACCCCCTTTATAATTTGCAACCAACTAATTTAATAACCTTTTGTGAAAGAACCCTTTTCATATCTTTTTGAAAAGGGAAAATCTATAATGTGGGAAGACTTTAACCAATCAACAACAGACTTATCACTCTTAGTAAATACGGGTTATCTCAGGTAACCCGTTCAAAAAACAACCCATTGCCAATTTAAAAAGAAAGGGAAATAGTCTCTTTAAAAAAAAAAGAAAGACTTTAAGGTGTTTGGTCATTAAGATGCTATAATCATGGTTTTTAAAATCGGACTGGAAAAATTAGATTCGATTTTCCCCAAAATCATTGATTATGGTCAGCAAATCACTAATTTGGGCAGTTGACCGTTCGAACGGTTTTGACCATTTTTTATTTTTTGTTTTATTTTTTATTTTTTGTCATAACGGGCCAACCGTTCAACCCGATAACCGGACCCCTGACCGGTTCGATCTCCGGATCGTTTTTAAAAAACATGCTATTAACTGTGTTTCTCTCTTTCTCTCTCTCTCCAAATTCCAACTCCCATCAGTGGCAACGAACCCCATCAACGTAATATCATTTCCTATGTTGATATATTTTCCTTGGATCATACTGCTAACCCATCTTAATTACACCCAGAAAAAAAAAAGAACAAGCAGGAGAAAGAAAGATAATTGACAACAAGATGTCAATCCCCTATACGGGTTAGGAAAACCTTGGCTGTCCTCTAGTAGACTTGTCACAACCTTCATAATTTTATATTTTGAACCAAGTGATAATGTTTGGAGAGTTTGGCAAAACTTATTGGTAAATAGGAATTTGAGTAAGCCAAACTCATATGAAACAATGGCATGGTTTAGATGAAGGGCCCAAGTGGGTCAATCAAACGGTGGCCCAGTTAGAATCACCAAGAGAGCTATAAACTTGACAATAGTTAAAGTAAATTCAAGTAGCAAAGTTCAGCAAAATAGATTATCAATATATTAACCCTATGTCCAGGGACAGTAGAAATTGTCTTGATGTAAGTCTCCCCTTATTCTCAATTGCTTGCGCTTTCACCATTGCATGTGCCTTCCCCTATTCTCTCTATAAAAGCAACACCATATGCTTTATAGAAATCATAAGAGACCATGAATCCTTTATTCTCTATCTTCTTCCTCTCCTACTGACTCCTCCTATCCAGACATAACATCAATCAAACCTGCAGAACGGTCCCTATATTTGAGCTTCAACTTCTGTGTAACCTCTCTCCAGGCTGTCCCTAAGAGCAGCAATGCAACTCTTTAAGGACTTGTAGTCATTGCACTACAATTGGCCCAAGAAAACGCCACCGTCATAGTTGTAAGGATTAAGAATCTGTTAGAGAATGAAGATGATCAATGCACCATAGCAAGCTTAAATGGCTGTTTAGAACTAAACTATGATGCAAATTCTACACTACGAAACTTGATCGAGTACTTCAAGTCTGAAGATTACAATAATGTCAATGTATACATATAAGTGCAGTCATGGAATCAACTTCAACATGTAACTCCAGGTTTGAGGAAGGTGTAGTTACTCCATTAATGAAGGAGAGCGACAATTTCATTAAGTTGTATGTGTGAGATTGATTTGGTCATCAGCAATTTGCTTCATGGATGATCTCAATAATCCTTAGTCATCTATTTATAGACAAGTGATCTACATTCTTGTGCATTAGTCTCGAAGTAGTAGTTTATATCTATACTTGAATTATAACTATCTACTTCAGTTGTGTGATGGACGTGTTACATAGAATTCATGGAGGTTGTTCACATGTTCGAGAAGAAGATGATCAAGCGAATGAGAGGGTAACGACCGGAACCGAGATTGGAAGAAGACGATCAAGCGTAGGAGTGGGTAACGGAGGAGTCAGGTAACAAAAAATATAGTTTCTTGTTACTTTATGTATATCGGGTAATCAGTATTTACGTGGCACTAACACAGGTTCTGAAAATAGTCGCGTTACTTCTTAAAATGGTTTTTCATTCCAAAAATACCCCTAAACATAACAGATAAGAGAAATACCCAAGGAACACAAAGCTCATTCATCTAGGATTGTCACAAATCTTTGTAAACAAAGCTTAACCAAAAATAAATATTGTGTTCTTATAGTGGTCTTCTCCTGTCTGACATTTGTCTTTGGAATGCTTTCTTTTAAAGCTCTTCCTACTTGTTTGGTCACTTCTTGCGTCTTAGGCTTTGGGCTTTCACATGGTAGTTCCTTTCTCTTCATTCATTGAACATGTTGCCACAATGTTGGATTTCAACTCTTCCATGCAGTGTTTCTCCTCATGCTTTAGTGTTTTGTACTCAACACAACTCGGTTTCTCCATTGCTCTACACAATGTGAAGCATCAATTATTTGGAGCAAGAATTAATAAATTGTTTGGTTTGACGAAATTGGAATCTCATTCCCATTCTTGGTGGAATGGCATTTTCCTATTTGAGGGAATGATCATTCCCACCCATTCCCTTGGGAAACAAAATCCAATTCTAGCTGATTCCAACTCCCATTCTAATTATTGTCTAAACCAAACAGACTATTGGAATAGATCATTCCAATTCCTATTCTAATTATGAAGGATTTCGATTTTGATTATTGTTCCGATTCCAACCACAGACCAAACAAACCCTCAATTTTCTAGAGAGACAATTTTTATCTATGGATGCTCTAAAATTTTAAACAACATAAACCTACCTCGAAAGAGGACCGGAGACGGAGGAAGAATAAGGAGTGATGGAGAAATGCTCTTCTTCATTGGAGATGGAAGTAAACCAACTGTCGACAATGCAAGCCTCAATGGCAATGAATATAGATTGTGTTTGGTATCATTGCCACTTCTACTTGCAACATTTTAGGTTGATCAATACAATATTTTGAGAAAATTGTCTTGTCACATCACACTAGATAACCACTTACACAAAATATATAAGCATTTGATTGAGTGTTGGCATTTATAGTAGAATCACCAAATTTGGCATTTCTTGAAGAAACAACAATTGCACCAAATGTTGTATTGATAACTCAAAGCATCTATGGTAGAAAAAATATATTCTCATATAATTTATATTGACTAATCTAAAATGTTGCAAGTAGAAGCGCCAACCATAGTGTTTGCCACAATAACCATCTCTACAGGAGAGTAGTCTTTGGACCATTGTATATAACAAAGCATCAGTTGATTAACCATGCCTTGTTGGCCAAGCTGTCATCCAATGTTCGGTTTGCTCCCTAGCATGGACAACAAAATACCCTTTTCAAGTTTCAGTGCTAGCGTTGTAGTAGAGGGGAAACTAGAAAAATTTAAAGTTTCATCAAAATTCACAAGGTTGTGATTGGTAAAAACTGAATTGGGATTTGATAGTCATAAAAAAAAAAGAATGGGGATTTGGCCCTCATAGAGTGTTTATCATATTGACCTCACAGCCAGGGGTGGAGCCAGAAAATTTTGATAAGGGGGCCAAAACCTAAATGAAATATAGATGGACCCATGGGGGGGGGCAACCATTGAGGTGGACAGTGGGGGGAGGGAAAATTTTACATAAAAAACTATGTATTACTATGAAGATTTTATGAACCATAGGGGGGGCCATGGCTCCCCTGGGTCCCCCTAGCTCCGCCCCTGCTCACAGCCACATCCCATCGTGTTTTGCGAACATCTCCCATGAATAATAACATATAAATAATGCAAGAGACGTTCTCAATTTGCGGCTGGGACATGCTATGAGGTTTGTGCGAGGAGAGCTATGTGAGAGCAGATCCACATTCGTCAAAACCTCTTTTGTATCATGTCTTTTTGGTGTCATAGATTTTATCCTCTTTATAATTTAACATACCACATTCATCAAAACCTCTCACGTATCATGTCTTTTCGGCATCATAGATTTTATCCTCTTTATAATTTAATCTATAAAACATTAGGGTAAAAGTTGCCATCTTATACTTTAATAAAAGAACAAAACCATTGTAAAATAAATACAAAAGTATAAGGGTATTTTATTAATATGCAAGTTACATGGATATTATGGTTGAAAAGTTTATTAGCATTAAGGCATCATTTGTTTTTTGGGAAGTGGGGCTGGTAAGTTGGCAGGTCCTACAGAAATGAATCAAGTCCGTGTTTATTTTATAGTAATAATTTCCAAGTGACTCATTTACTTGGAGAAGTAATATTTTTCTCAAATTTGATAAATTATTTATTCGTATATTCTGAAAATCACTCATATGTAATGGGATAATATTGTATATTCAATAATGCCATTTTTTTTGGGATAAATCCACCATTATACACTTTAATTTTACCTAAAAAATAAAAAAAAACATTAATAAATGCTCGCATTTGAGTAAGTATTTTCCAAAAAAATCTGAATAAATGCATTTATACACATAAATCATTTAACGAGACATAAACGAGGCCTAAAGAGAATGGATTATCTTGAGGGTATTTTAATCCTAACAAAATACTTGGAGAGGAGGGAGCGGTCTGAGAAAAAGGGGCCGACTTTGGAAATACGGATCATTCTGGCCCTTTGAGTAAAATGTTCAAAATTATAGGGGCTAAAATTAAAACAGTCCCGACCCACTTCCTACGTGTTTTTGTTCATGGAAAAACTATATAAATTCAAGGCCCGACGTACTCCACAGTTTTCGTTAACCTAGGTACAGTGCCCCGCGTTCATTCAAAAACTGCCCCTCATCCCTCCTTCCACCTCCCTCTCCCTCTCCCTCTCCCTGCTCATCCTCTGTCTCTCTGTTGTATAAACTGTTCGGGAAATTACTCGATGTGATGTGATGGGGGTGTCTTTCAAGGTCGCGAAAGCTGGGACAAGGTATCGCCCCAGACCGGCTCAGGTTGACGAAAGAGAAGATAGCTCCAAGGAGCAGCCAACCACACATGGAGACGCTTATGAATCATTACGTCCTAAGCCTAAGGTAGACGTCTCTTTGTTCCATATTCTTACGTGATTTATTGTATAGGCTTGGGCTTTTGTTCTTTGTCTGCCACGTTCTGCACTTTTGGGATATTTTTGCATGGTGGGCGAAAGCAGTTTGGTTTTCTTCTTTAAGTACTTCGGTGGATTCTTGCCTTCATCCATTTTGGAACGATTTTGTTATCTTGATCGTTATCTGCTTTTTCTCTTATCTATATTGTCAATGCAGTTTCATGGTGGTTGTTCACTAATTCCATGAGTTATTCTAGGGCTTGTATTTGCTTCTCCTTCTACAATACTCAGTCATTTTTGGGTGTTCAGTAATTGAAAAGTACGTAGGACGAATTTCTTAATTATTTTTTCGTGAAGCTTTATTGGTGTCGTTTGAAGGAACATGACACCAATGAAGTTAGCCTTCCTTTTTTTCCCCCAAATACATATTAAAATACTTAATATTCTAGAGATTATATGTTGTTTTCCCCTCTTTCTCAAATATATATACTATGTTCTTTTTCCCTCTGTTTCATCTATTTATGATGCTTATATGTTGTTTTTCCCTCTTTCTCAAATGTATATACTATGCCCTTTTTCCCTCTGTTTCATCTATTTATGACGCTTGTGCCTACGTGTTATTAGTGTCTCTTTGTCTTCTTGTCTTAAAATTGCCATTGAAATAATTACAATTATTGTCTTTTCCTTTATTTGTTTTGGTTGCTTTTTTGGTTTATCTAGAAATAATGATGCATAATCTTAATTAGGAGCTGATGAGGAATCCAAATCTCTATTATTATTCCAAAAATGTTCCAATAGTAGTCATTCTAGCTGATGAGGAATATGCTACTATTTGACAATTCCAAATGATGCCATCAATAGAGAAAGACTTGAACACTTTCAACGTTTTCATCCATTGAACAACCTTATTCAACTGTGAGCTTCCTTTATGTGACTTCTATCCTTAAAAACTTGGTTGTTTCTTTTCTCCTAAATGACCCACAATAATGCAGCTCTACTTTATTAAAAGGTTCATTACCCCGCCAAACATCACCCTAGAATCTAGGCATATTGCCAAAAGGTGCATACTACCTTATAAACTGAAGGCCTTAGGAAAGAAAGTTTGAGATGGCTTCCCATGGTGTTGCATCATGAAAGAGTAGCTTTTGTGTCCTACCCATTGGACAATAAACCATGAATTCTTTTGATGACATTGTGCTAAAGATCGTTTGTATTCTAGAGAAATCTTCACAACCATTTGCCTACAAGAGAGGTGCTCCTCAACCTTACTCTACCCAAATTCAGATCTTCCTCCTCTTTGCTTTTGCACAGCATGGATCATCTAATTAAATAGTTATTCTTAGAATCCTTTGGCTTCCAAAGGAAATATCTCATAATCTTTTCAGGCCTCTTTGCAACTACCACCAGTGCTTTAAACATAGAGAGGTAATATATTGGCAAGTTTGCTAGAGTGGATCTTATCAATGTAGTCCTTCCTTTAATAAAATATAGTTATTCTAACTTCTAAGTTGCAGGTCTTTGTTAATCTTACCTAGACATGATTCTAGAAGGTAGTAGATTTGGGGGCACAAGATAGTTAAGTGGTCATTCCTTCATTGAGGAATCCAAGATTTCGGCATATCCCCTCAATGCTCTTCCCCAAACCCCAAGACCCCTAACCCTAGTGAAGGTGGGATTCGATCTCAAGTCTTTGTTACGACCAAGCAGAAACCTTACCAACAAGTTAAATGGCACCTTATTCTTGAATTATGGAATCTGGTTGTTAATAAATTTTGGAAAGGGTTGTATTCTTGGAAAATGTTATTCCATATTTCTTGTTAGTAAGGATACCTTGTGTTAGAGCTAGCCGAATAAGGGTAGATTAGTCATTTTATTTCTGTTAAGTTATGTGCTTATGTGGCAATTTTAATAGAGACTTCTTGTCCCATACTTAAGTGGGGGCAGTTTAGTCTTTGTACAACTAATTAGAGGCTAATTCATATTAGGGTTGACTGATAGGGTTTATGCTATCAGATTCGACTGTTTCTTTTCTTCTTCTTCTTCTTCTTCCTCTGGTTCGAACTACTGAAGCCACTGAGATAACATGGTATCAGAGCAGGACATTGCTCTTTAAATCTCTACTCGTGAATGCTGCTCCTTTCTGTTCGTGACTTCTTTTTCTTCTCTCTGGATTGCAAATGGAGAACACAGACTCGGCCTAGGTCTGAGAACACTTCGGCATCTCTTTCTCTGCTCAGAACTTGATTGCCTTTCAAGAGAATAACTCCAGAAATAAGTGGATGGTCGACTGAAGCTCTCCATCAAGGTTGGTTATCCTTTTTTTTGTGTTGTTGGTGTTTCTGGGTTGGAAAACCCTCAAAAATCTGCTCGGACTGATCAAAACTTAAAGAACTAGGTTATTTGTAGCCTTGGTTCTTGGTAAAAGGCCCAAGAATAGGCTGTGTTTACAGTGACCGAATGGTGTAAGGGTTACTGTAGTGGTTGTAGTTGATGTCTTTGGACTAGTAGTGACCTTTAAAAAAAAAATAACCTGTACCATGTGGGACAGAGATGGTTGCGTGGTGATGCTTTTGATGCACACCCTTTATTGAGCAGCCTCAAGAGGGCTTGTATGTGGTTAGTAAATTGTTGAATTACTGTGGCGGTGATTTATGTCTCTGTGTAATCAGTAGTGGTGTGAGCAAGAACAAAAGTTGTTTTTTTTTTTGGGATGGAAGGAATGGCTGAATTGCTTACATCAATTTTTTGCCTTGTTGGTGTTGTCTGAATGTTGGTTTACCTTTTGTTCTTAATCTAGGTGGTAGTTTGCGCACAGTGGTGACTGATTGTGACTTGTTGTGAACCTATCACCTGAGTTTAGAGACTGCTGTAGTGTTGCCTTGGCTTCTGTAGTATTTGGTTGGTGACTGAGAGTTCAGCATTAGAGATAGCAGTGGGGAAGACATAATGGCAGCAACGGGAGATGGTTCTAGTGATCAGAAACCGAGTGTGATGATCCCCTCCGATTATTTGGGTGTGCAGATAGCCTCCATTAAACTTAATGGTGAGAATTATGTGCCATGGGCCAAGTCARTGGAAGTTTTCCTCAAGGCAAAGAGGAAAGTGAAACACGTGAAAGAAGATAAACCATCAACTGACTCTCCAAGGTTTGATGACTGGGAACAGGAAGATGCTCAAATCATGACATGGTTATGGAATAGTATGGAATCCAAAATAAGTACCAACTTTATGTTCTTAGATACAACTAATGACATATGGGAACATGCCAAAGAAGCTTTATTCTGGGCAGGATAATACTATAAGGGTATATCAGCTCTATCAGGAATATTTCGATCTGTAGCAAGGGAATAAAACCCTAGAAGAGTACTATGCCAGTATGAAGAACCTCAGAAATGAACTCAATGTCTATCATCCTCTCACTCCAGATGTTAAGGTTCAGCGACAACAGAGGGAACAACTAAATGTCAATAGGTTCTTAGTGGGGTTGAAATTAGAATATGAACCAGTTAGGGCCCAAATATTGGGAGGCTTTACTCTTCCTACACTTAAGGAAGTTTTTGCACGGCTTCGTAGGATTTCTTTGGGATCTACAGAGAATCCCACACAGTCTGACAGATCAGCATTTGTGATAGCTAGAGGAGGTGGACGTGGTACTAGAGGGGGAGGACATTCTTCCCGAGGAGGTCGTGGTGGTGGTCGTGACTCAGGGGGAGGCCGTGGTAAAGGAAAAAGTAACTCTACAAGGAAGTGTACCCATTGTGGTAGAGACGAACATTCGGTGAATTTCTGTAATGATCTCCATGGCCCTCCTTTTACATGGGCTAATCATGTAGTAGCTGGTGGGGTTAATGTCAGTGATAACCAATAGGCAGATCTAACACCTTCTACATCTACATTTGTTTCCGGGAAGGTGATGGTGAGTGTACCACGCGATGAGTATGAGAGGTTCCCCCAGGCTACTTCACAGCATACTACAACCACCCTTGCCCACTCAGGTATAGCTTGTCTGGCATTCAAATCCTCTCCCTGGATTATTGACTCCGGAGCCTCTGATCACATGACTGGGATTCCAGGTGTGTTCTCTTCCCTCTCGGAAACTTCCACATCTCAAACTGTTACCCTTGCCAACGGTTCCTCTTCTCCCATCTGTGGTGTTGGTAATGTTGACACGACTTCTCTTTCTTTATCATCTGTTCTATATGTCCCTAAGTTTCCATTCAATCTTTATGTCTGTTAGTAAATTAACCAAGACTCTTAATTACTCTATTACATTTTTCCCTTCCTTTTGTGTTTTTCAGGATCTCAAGATGGGGAAGAAGATTGATGGGGGGCATGAGGCTGGTGGATTGTATTACCTTGACGGTGGTGGATCGTCAGTTGCACTTCAGACTTCACTCACTYMTCTACAGTGGCATTGTCGACTGGGACATCCATCTCTCAAGGCACTCAAGATACTGGTTCTGTCTTTGAGTCATTTGTTGTCTTTACAGTGTGAGTTGTGTCGGTATGGGAAACATCGTCGGGTTCCCTTCGGTCCTAGAGTTGATAGTCGTATGTTGAGTCCTTTTGCTTTGGTTCATTCAGATGTTTGGGGTCCGATTAAAATAGTCTTATAATGGTTACAAGTATTTTGCCACTTTTATTGATGATTGTTCAAGGATGACATGAATTTATTTAATGAAAGAAAGGAGTGAATTATTTTCAAATTTTCAAAAATTCCGTGCTGAAATACATACACAATTTGGTGTTCCAATCAAAGTTCTTCGTTCAGATAATGGTCGTGAATACTTTTTTACTTCCTTTCAACGGTATTTAGAACAACATGGCATCATTCATCAAACTTCATGTGCATCCACTCCTCAACAAAATGGGGTGGYTGAAYGAAAGAACCGTCATCTCCTTGAAACTGCTCGGTCTATTCTTCATCATATGAGTGTTCCTAAATGATTTTGGAGTGATGCTGTACTTACTGCGTGTTTCCTTATTAAT